CAACAGCCGCTGAAAATAAGGCACGGTTCCCTAAATGATCGTAAGACATAAACAAAACGGGTCCGAACCAAAGGAGTCTATTGAGTTGAATTTGATACGCTAGCGATTTTTTGTTCGATGCATTCCCAAACATCGGACGACGTACGTCTAGGTTACTAACTCGCTCACTCCATTTCACCATCGATTGTCGAAAATCACCGGGTGTCTTCTACCGCAAATTCAAGGTTTCACAACCACAAGGCAGAACTGAATCAACGTACGCCGCTAGCGCCTTGGAAATTCGGGTGGTTATCTCCTTTGATGCAAGACCGTTGTTGGTCAGGCAGTTACTCAAGTACAAGAAATAGTCAACATCCGGTAAATCATGACCGTCTAGTTTTGACCTTGCACTTCGAAAATGCAAAGTAGATACCGAATGGGGCAACAGCACTTGTTAGTTTATCAAGTGCACTTTGCGCGTCTTCTATACATGCGAACAGACAGACGATGTCACCAGCGTACTCTAAATCGTACAGCTTTTCTCCAGCTACCCATTCAATACCTACGTTTTGGAGACCACTTAGTGCGTTCTGCAGAATTTCGTCTACGACGAAGTTGAACAGGAACGGCACCCTTGACGAACGCCACTACTGGTAACGAACGGCCTACTTAGTTCGCAGTAAACCCTTACACGACCAGAGGTATGTGAGTACAGTGACCTCAGTAGGCTAACGTACTTCTGGAGTTTTCCTTTTCGGAGAAGGGAGCCCATCACAGCTTCGCGGTCAACTGAGTCTAAGGCTCCTTTCAGGTCGAGGAACACTGCGATCGTTGGTCGACAGTGGTTGAGACGCGGCCCAAGGACCTTACACGACGTCAAATTTTGATCAATATATCCACAGCTGAATCGGAATCCGGCTTGCTGTTCGCGGATGTTGATCTCTCTTAAAGGAGTCAAACTTCGAAGTACGAAGTACTTTGATGACGATCGGGATCAAACTTATCCCGCGATGGTTTTCGCAATCGTTAAGAAATCCTTTCTTGAAAATGAGAACGATCAGGGATTCGCCCCAAGACGAAGGAATGCGCTCTTGTGTTCAAATGTTGCGCAGTAGGATAGTAATAGAGGTTACAAGGTTATCACCCCCACCCCACCCCCCATCTTGAAAGTGGTGGGAGGGAACCCATCTGGTCCTACTGGCTTACCTCTCTTCAGAGCTTGAATACAAGACTGAACTTCTGCTTCCGTTGGAGCATCACATGACACTGCTGACGGAGCTTCAGTTGGAGATGAAGCAACCTGGTTAACACTAGGCCAGCTGAACTGTTCGCTGAAGTATTCTGTCCAGAGCTCGAGTCGTTGATCCGTATTTTGATTAGCTCATCCCCTCTTATCGCAGACTGTTTCACTAACCGGAGTTCGCCGACCCCCCGTATTGCGTCTGAACAGTTTTTGACTATTCCCTGATGCAGCTGCTACTAGCTATTGTTACCTGTCAGTTCTCACGGTCCTTATTGAGGCTCTTCGTGAACTGACCTTGCACACACCACCCGATCATGTTTTGATCCCAGTAGGTCTGGATTTGTCGTTTTGCTCCGTCAGGGTTACTGACTAATGAGATATCCAATGCATGCGATGGGCTTGAGGTTCACACCTACAAGGAACATTTGCTGTGGAGTGCATTGCTCGTCTAATCTGATCCCGCTACTCACTTACATCACGTTGAAGCGCGGTTAGCTCACGCACCAGCTTTGACTCAACAGTCACGTACTGCTGTGACAGACAGTCGATGATGGACTCCCCGAGTTTGTTCGTTTTGTCACCTAGGCAAGCCTCTGATACGCCCAGTTCTCCTGTGTTAAAATCAACTGTATGTACCAACTTCATCGGAGCCTCGGCTCAACAGAATGAGTACGGCGAGTGTATCGTAGAAAGCACCCTTTTGTATATTAGGATTGCAATCGGTCGGCGCATACGCGAAAATGAACCAACACAATTCGGTGTTGATTCCCCTTGAAACGCCGATAGACCCTTTAAGCCGCATCGTATCCGAGCCCCACCAATGACTATCTAAGTTCCAAATTCGCGGCCTCTTCGGGTTATTGAAGGTGGTAAGTCTTAGCTTAACCTGATTGATACGCGCCTGGCTGAATTATCGAGTCCATAACATCGGCAGTCCGACATTAATCACCAAACCCTGAGCACTGAAATATGCGAACCTGCTTCCAGAAGAGCGTTAAAACCGCCGTGGTCACTGATCAGCCAAACTTATAAAAATCGAAGGCAGTTCGGTGGGCTACATGAACTCTGTCGTCCAAGACTACGGTGTTATATGGAATTGTACATTTTGTTCCGTGCGACAACCAGTGCACATTTTTTTAGACTAAAATGTAAGTCTATAAGCTTACACGAGTCATACTAATATAGCCACGCCTGGGTAAATTTCCCTGAAGGGGGGAAACACGGGAGCCTCAGTTTACTTGATGTAGCGGCAAAGACTTTTGCAGAAACAATGCGGGCGCGCACCGGATCTAATCAGAAGGGATTCTGCCCCGGTGTGGGCTGCGTTGACCAAATTATCACTTTACGTCGACTTTTGGATCATCATCGTCACAAGTTTCAGCAACCTACAGCAGTCTGCTTCAGTGATTTTCGTACGGCATTCGATTCCGTAGATCTCAAACCAGTATGGAACATACTTCTGCCCCATGGTGTCCCAGTTAAACTTGTCAACATGAGATTCCACTATTCTAACACTAGTGCTCGAATCCGCATCTACGGCGAGGGGTCATTCGTGTTCGAGTCAAGATCTGGAGCGCGACAAGGGCACCCACTACCCCCAATGCTGTTCAACTTTGCCGTTGACTGGATAATGAGTCGTTCGATAGGAGGACACCATGGAGTTCCGATCTCTCGGAATTTCCGGCTACGAACTAAGAATTCGCTTATGATATTGTGGTCTTTGGACACAACCAACTCCAAGTAATCGTTGACCGCATTAGTCAATAGGCCTCCGAGATTAGTCCTGAGGTGCACACAAAAAATCAGAACCTTTACGACATCCCAATTCACCCCGAAGACGCTTTACTACTAAACAGTGAGCCGACCAAAAGCTATAAATACCTGGGCTCAATCATAATCCCCAATGGCCAAGCCAAACGCGAAGTACAACAGTGCGCCGTTGCTGAAAGCTGTTTCTAGGGTTGAAGAATTCCCTTTGGTGCAAAAATGAGATCAGCCTAAGGACAAAAATAGGAGTTTGCTCCACAGCAGTCCGTCCTGTGTTGCTATACGGCTGCAAAACCTAACCACTTAAAGACCTTTCTTGGTAACACCTCCCCACCCACACTGTCGATACGGTAAGCGGCAAAAAACCCGGCTAAACAGATACATAAAACCTTGGTCTCCACCCTGTCTACGGCAATCACCAATGGAAATCAAGCTGGATCGCAATCTGCGCGGATCCTGCCACAGACCGCCGAGCTTGGGCAGCGGCAATTCCGGACACCCATGAAACCGTCCCACCCTCCCATGAACCAACCGCCGTAGAGTGAAGCAAAAAAGTAATTACGGTTGCCAGTGTGCACTCGCGCAAAGGGTCGCTGATTAGAACCAGAATATTAGCAGTTTCGGCCACAGACCACTGTTACCTGGTTCAATGCCTAGCCTATATTGATGGAGCTCTTCGATGTTTCCCGGGGCTCGTCCCGCGAGTCACGATAGGGAGAAATCTGTTTGTAACCACCGGATTAGTGATGCTCGTCAACTATGCCAGTACACGTCGGCTGGGCTCGTAGCTAATTCAGTCAAATTTGAAATCGAACAGACCTTAAATGAGCGCGGGTACCAAGATCTATCAGTGAAAGGAGTGCTGGACGAACCAACTGCAGGATGGATGTTTACTAAATGAAGCGCGGAAGGACAATCATCGTATTCCTTCTTTGCTGAGGGGGGGGGGCACCGGGGAATGAATCAAATCACTATCTAGATAAATGAAAACCCTATTCGGTGGCATTTCTATTTGCTGACCAGAACCCACCACAACCTTCCCAGCTTACATTTACCGCCCACGAAATAGCATAAACATAATTCTATGGATCAAGGTGGCCAGCCTGCATTACGCGTCGGCTTGAGCATTACTTCGAAAATCTTACCAACAAACCAATGAGTACATTCAGGTATGATCTGTCCTGTGGGGTCCACAGACCTGACTATTGTACTAGAAACAGAAACAACGCACTTCACGGAAGTTACAAACCGAGGAATCCCCTCATACGACACTCAAACAGCTAACTAAATTCGTCTACATAAAAGTCGGCTGGAGGCGCGGTACGCCTATTACTCAACAACACAACGAACTCCCGGGAATACACACGATATCTGGGAGTATCACGAGCTGCTTTTACTCTTGCCCTTCTGGTCGACTAAATAACTAATCAGTACAGCGACGGAACCCGTCGCAGGGATTATAAATGCGATAACCCAACCTCTGGAGCTGATGCTTCCGGCTCGTTCGACGTGAGAAGAACCCTAGGACATCGGTAAGGCACAAGATCAGAACGGAACCTCAGGTACTCCGAGTTCGCACAATCAAAAGCATGATCGAGGAGGAAAGATAAGCTGAACGGAGAGTCTTGGATCTGACTGCTATTGAGTGGTGACTACCCGTATACCGCTAAAATCTAAACGTGAAAGTCATTTCAGGAAGGCAATTACAAGCGAGTTGCCGCAGTTACCGGATATTAGTAATACATGAACCAAAAGAAGGCAATACCTGTGGCAGCTCACCGTGATATTACACCCAATACAGTTTCATGAAGCCGACGGTCGATGATGTATTTCGCACAGGATTCCATAAGCCAAATTGAATAACAACCAATTTCAACGCTACTATATGTTTTATTTCACAATTCAGTTGTTCCAACTAGTTACAAATTTGCTAGACAGCCCCGCAATTCCAGCTGGATCTCGCTTTCGACATGCAATGTGGCAGTGAAAATGCCTAAACAGTTGCTCTAAGTTAGAATGCGTATAGGATCAGGAAGGCCATCATCAGACAGAACAGGCCCATAGCTTCACTCAAGGCGAACCCGAGGATGGCGTAAGAGAACAGCTGTTGCTTCAAACTGGGATTACGTGCATATCCAATGACTAAGTTTCCAAACACCGAACCGATTCCAGCACCTGAGCCAGCTGCACCGACAGTGGCTGCGCCAGCGCCAATGTACTTGGCAGCCTGATCGATATCCCGTCGAACTATCGAGGTGTGGAACTTGGAGCTGAGGACAGAAGGAGCTGCTGACACGGCACTCAATCTTAGAGCCTGTGATCCTCGGAGAAGTGAAAGGGCAGGACGGATGACAACGCGAGATTGGCAGAGGGCGCTGGACAGCATCTGAAAGGCAAATAGGTGAGGTAGTTACGAGCATAATCAGTTGGACACTTTCATACAAAATATCCTTAGTAAATCGTGACGGATATCAGGTGAAATTCGTTCACATAAGCCTAGCGCATCGTTTAGCTCGGTTCATGAACTAGGAAACCGCCAGCCCATGATGACGTTGCCACTTACAAAACTGAAAGAATTATCTTTCAGAACATAGCTCCAAGTGAACTCAATAGGAACCGGCTATCACTTCCAAAGATCGATTTATCAAAACCAGGAATAACGGTATGGAGGACTATTTCTCACTCAGATCATAATTCTTCGGCGAGTGTACAGTTGTTGCCATACTTTCGAGGAACAGCTACCACGTATCGGAACTCATTGTAGACAGCGCTTGCAACCCTGTCAGAGACAAAAAGTCGACAAACAGCACATAATTACCATTAAATTTCCAAACAATCCCAAATCGTTCAGTTAAGAGGAAAACAAGATATAGCCCTAAACAACGAGTCAATTCGGTTTAGGAACGTCGTTCCGCACACTGTTTCATGGAATCACACGACACGAGCGTCTGATGCCTCAACGAACATCTGAATCCATGCGCTTACAATTCCGCCGAATTCCTCAAGGCACACCAGAAACACCACAACCATCGGGGAACCGCTAGTTTCGATCATTACTGCGCCCGTTCTGATGGGATTTGCCAATTCAAGGTGCACGTTTAAGATCACCAGTTATCACGATCGAGCAGTGCGACCACCATTTCCGCTGTTCGTCCCAGAACGGCTACCGACAGAATTTAATAGCATTAGTTATTCCGCAGTGATGCTGAGTATAAATTATGGCAATGGTGTATCATGTTATAGGTGAACACCGCTTGATGTTTTACTGGTGCAAGTACCGAGGGGGTATCCCTTGAAACTGATGCTTTTCACCAAATTAGCTGCGTACCACTGGAGTACCATGCCTCAGTAGGGTAAAAGCCTATCACTTCGAGGTTACAATGCGAAATTCAAATAAACCGTAGCACACTCGCGTTCATTATTAGGTACGAAAATAAACCTCACTTCAGCCGCAAAAGATATTATTACAACACTAATCTAGGAACGCACACAATCATTTAAGGAGTGGGGCTGATTCGCTACTGTCATCGAGTTCAAACTCGGAAGCCAACACACTTTCGAATCACAAGTGTACATGGTTCATAACCATGTTGGAGACGAAGAGAACATGAAAACTGACAAGGCACATCCAAGGATCTGGGGCTACTGAGTGCCAACCTTGAACCCAAACCATATCAGGGCTTCAGGACTGTCGGTGAATGCCGTATATGTTAACTAAACGTTGGGGAACCTGCATCGAGCGGTATTCTCATGAAAATCGTCAAAACACGAAACGAGGAGAGCTGAAGAAATTAGCAACATGCACCAGGCATCGATACCGCTAACAATCGTCGAATTTCGCGTAATTCTATCTGCCAAGACCGACTAGTTAATCGCGAATCGTTAGAGTAGAACATTAGGATGCCAAAACAAAGCAGAAACCTACGTCGAATGCGGGATGGAGATCAGAAACGAAAGCAAATGTCCAACGAGCAGCGCGTGAATCTCTGAAGTACAGTAAAACAAACGCGAAGCACGGTGAACAATGAAGTAGGTCAGGTCAAATTCCACAGAACTGAGAGTGGCCACGGACCAATCAAGCGTCTGTAGTGTCTTACTTCTCTACACACTTATGTGGCATTATTGTACAACTTGTTTGAATACGCACAATAAGTCAGTCAGTTTGCACGGGACAGGAGGCGGCCACGGCCAATCCGGCGTCCAGAGTTCCTTCAATAGTAAGCCACGGAATGTTCCCTAACACTGCGTATTTTCTATGTTGTAGTTCAGTTCAGTTCGGTTCCAGGACGTTGACGGCGGTGTGCCAGTTAATCCAATTTCATGCATCGGTAAGCTCTAGGGATCCCTAGATGCTGCGACAGATGGAAGAGGGAGATGACTATTCTTCAATTTTGCGATCAAAAACTTCAAGAGAGTTGGGTGTTGACCTCTCACTCTCGCGCCACATTCCGGTCATGCCTAATGGATCGAAGCATCAGACCCTGACACCGGCATCAACCAAGTTACAACCCCTGCCGAAAGGGATGGAGAGTTGTAGTGATAAGTTAGTGATCGGTTAATGGTGACGGCATGGGGATATGGTATGGAAAGAATAGAAGATAGTAGTAATGGATAAAGAGTGAGAGAGTGAGAGAAGGTCGGGGAGAAGGAGGGAGTGGAGCTTCCGGACAATCACGTTGGTCAGGCGGCTTCTTAGGTGAAAAGGCCTTGCCATACGGAATCCAGGCGGCTCTTGAAGCTATTCACCGAGCTGGAATTGACTTCTTCATTAGGTATTCTGTTCCAGTCGTTCACCATCCCTATGGCAAACGATTGCTGCCTTATGCAGGTGGAAACCCTGACCTTAGCTAACTCAAGGTCATTACCCCTTA